CATTTCTTTTTTGTTTGTTTGTTTTTGTTTTTGGTTTTTCTCCGGTACCGGGAACCGAACTCACGACCTTGCGCTTGCCAGGCAGGCGCTTTTGCCGCTGAGCTAAATCCCCAGCCCCAAGGCCTCTTAAGTATGGGCCAGTTATGACACTTCTACACTCATCACCACTTTTGGGGAAGCTGCCATTACAAATTGGACCCTCACTTTGGAATCATTAATTTGGAAGAAAATTGGCATCTCTGAACCAAGGAAACAGCAAAAGTACCTCCCCAACAAGGAAGAGCACAAGGATTTATTCAATGCTGGAAGCAGGAGAAGTGTCCAGCATGAGGCAACTAGCCTTTCCCACTTTCTTAGCCCCACCTCTGTTTCCCGGGAAACCCTCCTCCTCCCCGAAGGTTGGTACATGGGTCTGGGGGCTGCGCTAGACTTCCCTGTGAGGGGCCCAAGGTGGGGAAAAGAGACACAATGGACCTGCAGAGTTAGGGGAATTCAGAGAACTTGTTTTGACAGAAACTGAAACTCCTCCTCTTGCTGACGCTGTATTTGGCCATCTGCACCTGCTGTCCCCCTCCCAGAGTCCAGCTGGAAGGGGTCCCTCCCCACCTCTGTTCCCAACCCAAACAGGGCTCAGAACTCCTCAGCACAATATAATAACTGGCTCCACCAAATGCTTCCCTGCCCCCAACAGCATCTTGCAGTATAGTTCAGTCTAACTTTCAACTCACTATGTAGCCCAGGCTGGCCTCAAACTCACAGCAATCCTCCTGCCTCAGCCTCCCAAGTGCTAGGATTGCAGGCATGCGCCACCATGCCTGGCTGTCAAAGGCTTTCCAAACCCTAACTCATTAGATCACCCCCCATCCCACTTTACACAGGAGGGACATTGACACAGAAATATGGAACAGCTGGTCCAAGATCACACATTGGGGGGGCAGGGTTGAAGGTGAAACCAGGCTCTCAGTGGGTAACTTTGGGCCCCAAGTGACATTACCACCCCTCACCCAAGCCAGCTATCACCTTAAGTCGCCTTACTTCCTAGTGCTAGGCCTGATCTTAGGGCTAGGCCAGCACAAGCAGGAATCATCTGGAACCCAGGAAAGCCTAGGACTAGGCAGAGATTACAGGTATCAGTCAGGGGCTGTACCCTTCCTTAGGGCCA